TGATACAATCTCTCCATTCCTGTCTCGCTTGTCTCCAATGTCTCCCTCATACAATATTCCCCTTACTGCATTTACGCATTTGTTTTGTCTTACATGTTAAATGTCCTATCCCTGCCAATTATGTCTCAGTGAAATCTTAACCATCCTTCAAGGCCATGCTCCTAGCTAACCTTTTTCATAAGGGCTTGCTTGACTTGTCTAACTCACACGATTTGCTTCTTTCCCTTAGTGACAAAACCATTTATACTCTACATCACACAGGTCAGTGGCTGAGTACATGCTGGCTTGTACTGTTTTCTCTTGAATCAAATTGTGAGCTCCTCAAGGGCAAAGGGCTTTTTTCAACTATCATAGAACCTCATATAGTTCTGAGTGTATAGTCTCTATGCAATAAATACTTGTTGACTGATTGGCTTCAAAAATCTAGTTCACTTAATACTTAATCATTCAACTCAGCTCAATTCAATAAAAAAAAATGTATTAAGGACCTTCCTGCATGAAGACCTGAACTAGGCCCTAGGAAAACAAAAACAGAAACAAAATGGTCCTGATCCTAAGGAACTTGTATTCTACTCTGGGAATACTATATATACATAGAGTGATATGTACAAAATGCTTGCAAAATAAATACAAAGTAATTTTGCAATGGGAAAATAAAACACTGACAGGATCAGTCATTTTAAAAGGTTGAGGCAAGGCAGGATACTACTGCTGGCATAGGGGATAGCCTAAGCAAAAGTATGTAGGTTGGAAGTAAACTATCACATGTAGAAAAGGAGAAAACCAGTTCATATAGAATGTAGGTATACTTTGATATGTCTAAAAAGGTAAACTAACACCAAATTGTATTAGACTTCAAATAATAAAGGATGTTGCATATTGTCCTTAATGCTAAAGATGCCACAATATCTTCTGAAGCATAGGATAGATATGGTCAAACCTTGCTTAAGGAAGATTATTTAGGCATCTGCATGGAGGACAGATTAGAGAATGGAATTAGGCAAACCATGGGTCTAAGTACAAGCAACTAATACATTTTTCATTCAATATTATATCCCACCAATTAAGACTCTTTTATTTCCCCCCTCTTTCTTTGTCATCAATTTATTCACTTGTATTTTCTTTTCCCTTTCTTTTTCTCTCTCCTTGCTCTCCTTTCTCTTACTTTATGTGGGCCAGTGGACGTTGAACAAATTGAGAAACTCTGTTGTTAAAAATTGGGACCAAAGAGGTTGTTAAGTCCCCTTCAGTTGAAAAGAAAAACCAGTCATAAGTATCCACAAGGATAAAAACCTCCTAACATCAGCGTATTAACTTGCCTGAGTTAAGCAGCATGAACAAAGCTTTCGAAAAGTCTACTGGCTACCAGAAGCCGCCTAATCCTCTCCAACATCTCATTAGCTAGTAACCCTCTTTCCAGGTGAAAGTATTTCTGCCTACACCAAAGGCAGCACTGTTAGGACAGCACACATGCATTGTGCTATACTGTGATCGCTGGTGTGACAGTTAACTATAGTGTTTCATAGCCAGACAACTGATAGGGCTTCCAATCAATAGCCAGCTATTGACTGCCTGACAGGAGAAGCTCTATATCTGGCTGTGTATGATGGAAGGAAAGGATGAAAGCTGACATCCTCTTTCCCTACTGAAAAGTGATCTAAAAGGCTGTTAACATGTCAAAAGAGCTAGACTATGAAAGGAGATTAACGAGGGCAGACAACAAGGTGAAGACATCTGGGAAAAGGGCAGCTTGATCATCCTAAAAGGGAAATGAAATTGAGGTCAAGGAACTTCACACACATTTAGAGAAATATAAAAATGTTAATGAAACATTCATTAACACATACTTACTCTGACAAATTGGGTCAGTTGGGCACCTAAGCATTCATCAAATATTAGGTGTCCCGTATAGTGCTAGGCAAAGAGCAGGTATGCCATAAACAGCTATTGACTGATAGAGAATATTCAGAAGGATGAATCATTGTTCTGGAGTATATAATCTAATTAATTATTATTTTCTTTATCCGAAACACATTTTGAAGGTCACATTGAATATACCATAATCAAAACTGTTTCCTAAAGATCTTAGGCAGCATCCCAAATTTCAAAGCTTCTAAAATAACTTTTCACCAGACTCTTAATGCTGCCTCACATCATTTTTCATTCTGTATAAGGCCAGAAAAACAAACCTAATGCCACACACCTAGCATAAAGGCTTGCTGAGCTTGTGTGAATATCACCTTCATTAGCAGCTGTAGCATAGTGTGGGGGGAAAGAGCAGAATGTGAGCATGGGATCAAAGATACAGAGTAAGAATAGATCTCAGAGGCCATCTAACTCAATGCCCACATTTTGTATTTGAAGAAAGTGAGACCCATGGATGTGAAGTGTCTTGCCCAAGGTCATAGAATCAGCTAGTAGCAGAGATGGGATTCAGAACCAGATCATCTGACACAAAAACCCAGCATGTATTCCATTGTATCACACTACCACAGAGCACTTGGTTTCCAATCTCAGACCTGCTACTTGAACCAAGCAAGTTACTGAGCTTTTCTGAGCCTCAGTTTCCTCATCTGTAAAGTGAGAGGCCTGGCCTAAATGATTCCAATCATTTCTAGGTATGATACATGATTCAGAAGACTGATTCAGCTCATACCATGGAATAAAGTCCCTTATTTCTTTACCTCTATCTAAACGCTACCCATCTTCTATGGCTAACTTTGAGTTTAACCTCTTCCATGAAGCTTTCCTAACTACTCTGGAGGCCAGAGACCATGTCTTACAACTGACTTCTATATCCCACCTAGTACTCAACACAGGAATGGGCACACAGTAGAGACACATATTGCTTAGGTGATTATGCCTCAGAAAATCTGCTAACATGCCGCCTTTGATAAGATACTTTAACACGGCACCTTAAAAACAATGATTCAAGAAAAATGAGATGAGGGGAGCTGAAAAGGAGAAAGCAGGGAATATCTATGACTGGAAAGAGAGCCCCTGGTAGTTATGCAAAGCCTCAAAGCAATACAATACCTCAAATTTGTCTCTAGTTGTTGACCCAGGTGAATTATTGGATTTTTAGTACTGTTGCAGCCCACATTCTTAGGCACTGATAGATTTCCCAGAAGCACAAGGAGAGTTGAAAAAAAAAGTTTTTTGTTTTTTTTTAAGGTACTGTATTTACCTTTTCATCTCATCAGTCTTGATATTGTCCTTTTAAAAATCAGCACCTCACACCAGTTAATTCTCAATTTTACCACCTTGGGTGGGGATGACTGTTGTTAAGTTTAGGGGGAAAAAAACTACATTTTCAGCCTGATAGATGGATTAAAATGCAAGGAATCAAGCATTATCAGCCACAAGACTCTGAACAAAAGAGCTGGATTATTTCTAGGAAAGCAAATGGAACAGTTTTGAAGGGATGAGGATTTTTGAAATTTAGTAAACCATAAGCTTCAGCATTTGGCCATCCCATTCCCCTTCCCCACTGTAAAAGGAAAAGTAGTATTTGCACTTTGGGTATGTAGGCTAATCAATTCCCTGGAACCGTTCTGAATAAAATCACCTTAGTCTGGATAATTTTTAACTACCATTTCTGAGACTTTGCCTGATTTTTAGTTCAGGCTTTCTCAGGCTCTCTCTGGGCCTAAGAAATAATTGTGGAATGTTAGAGCAGAAAAACTTCAGAGAACATATCACTCAGCTCCTTAATTTTATAGAGGAGGAAGTTGTGAATTAGAAAAGGAAAGTGGATGATCCAAGGTCACAAAGCAAATTAGAGACAAAGCTTAGATAAGGACCCAGGTATAGTCATGTTTTCAGTCATTACACTACCAAGTCAAAGACTGTCTTGAAAAAGATCTAATTTGTTTTTTAAGCTAACATCATTTCTCTCCATTGTTGTGGAGTGTGACAAAAGCTCTAAGAAGAAAATACACCTTTCACCTCTGACACTATAGAAATAACCAGGTTCAAAGTAAGAAAGCAGTGTGTCTGTATGCCTTATGGATACAGCTCTGAGGACGTGAGAGAGGAAGTAAATGTAATCCAAGAAATAAGTCAGTGGCAAGGGATTTCCATCAAATGAAGGGTTTGGACTCCAAGGTCCCCTCCAGAGCTGATATTCTATGATTCCATAAGATTTAGCTGACAATGTGTTGGCTACTTATATTAATGAGGTAATGCTGAATATGAGTTTTCCAAACTATCTCACATTTACTATTAGGTCATTTCTCATCACGTATGTGCTGCAATTCCTCATAGGCGACATGGTATTGAAAGCAATACACTAGGGTAGTGTCAAGTCCTCTAAGTGTTAGTGGGATATTTTATACTGTTCCCCAAAAGAAAAGGAATGATTATTCTACTTTATTATGCCTAGCCTCAAACTAAAACAGAGTAACCTCCTATTTCCTTTCCATTTCCCATGGGCACCTAGCACAACCCCTGAAAGTTATTCAGAGTGTTGCTGATTGAGGATACAGGATACACATTCACTGCTATATCTTCTCTCTCTGGCAACTGTACAAATCATACATAGCTTTTAGCACATAACATAAATCTCATCTCTTGGTATTTGTATTTATAATCTTAATCTAATCCAGTGCCTGATAGCAGGTGCTTAATTAATGAATGCTGATTCATTCTTTCTGGCTAATATCTTCTTTGAACTTCCATTACACTAAAAGCTAATACAGTACCATATAATTTAGCACTTAATTAAACTCTTAGTTGTTTGTTCACAATAATTTTGTCTCCCCAATTTTAGTGTGGGTTATCAAAGGGTAAAGACTACATTATATACTGAAAAAAATATTCTTATCCCAATTTGCTACGGTAGTATTTCTGGGTACATACTAGGCACTTAATTCACTATCTGTGATTGAAACCATGATTCACTGAAGAATACTAATAAGTGTGTATTAAAGGTTTCTTCCATCATGCCCTCCTTTAAAATTCACAAAAGTCTGTTCTGAATATCTTTCAGGCCTACTTACAGTTATGGCATGTGGCTCCAGTATAACCTGTGTCACTGCAGTTACAGTAAAAGGTGGCCCAGGACTGAGTACACATTCCTCCATGTTCACAGTAGTTTGGCAAACATCTAATCAAAGATAAAATACAAACACACAAAGCAGCGCAATTAATTTTATAGGATATGAGTTGATATGCAATACATGTCAAGGGAAAAGTAAATCTTCAGGGAATAGCTTACCCACACAAGCCCATCTGTCACTCAGTAAACCCAAGAGAAGACCCAAGTTAGTTCAGTATCATAGAACCCCACACAAACAGTGGGTAGACTTCATGGGGAGCTACTCTTGATTCTCATCTCTGATTTAGCTAGAAGATGAATACAATCAAATTTAATATGAGGTGATCAAGCAAATGCAGGTGTGAGTGTTCACAGCTGAAGACATTCCGTAGAATTTGGATCATTTTTTGTTACTTCTGGAGGGCCAAGGGAAATGACAGATGACTCAGTTAATTTCCACCCCTACCTCCAATTTTTGAGGTATATCCAAAAGATCATTTTAAATGAACACAGAAAAAAAAATGAAAGAAAAGAAATAAACAATAAAAAACTCAAGAGGTATGAACTCATTTAAATCATGCCTATCATGAAAATTTTGGAAAAGTCACAAAATCTTCTAAGCCAGACAGATGTCAGAGGGTAAGCAACAGTAGGGGAGAGCTAAAGGGTGCACTGTGATCTTCACTGTGTGTATGGCAAGTAGAATTAACAACAAGAATTATCCCCTAAGAGTCCTGTGTATTTATGTACGAAACATTTCGGCAATGATTATTTTAAAAACTGAAACAAATATCCCTGCATGTGTTCAGATGTATTATTAGAAGGTTTCTGCTCAGCGCAGAAAATATATAGTTGTGCTGAGTGAGCTATTGTTCTAGAATGAATATATCCCCAGCTATGTGGTGCCAAATAAATGTCCAGAAAAGAAATAAAAGTCGACTAAGTTTATAGGATGGGATAAGACTTAGAGTGGGAAGGGACTCTAAAGGGTATGTAATGCAATCCCCTCTTATTACAGAACTAAAAGCTAAGCATTAGAAAGGTTAAGTGACTGGCCCAAGATTACACAGGTAGTAATTAGCTGGGCAAAGATATTAACCCAGATCCTTTGACTTCAAATGCATTGTTATTTGCATTGTACCAGGCTCTCTATTGTGCAATTACAGCTATACCAACACTCTCTTTATGTCCCTAATTCCCTTTCTTTGTCTCTCTCACACTCTCTTTCCAATTGTGTTAGTTGAACAAAGTTCACTTGGTTCCACTGAGGTCATTTATACCTGCCTACTTAGACAGTTTGATCAATTCAGCCAGTCTCTCCTGTGGCCTCTCCTGTCCAATTTTCTTCTTTTTGTTTCCTGTTTCATGTTCTTTAGGGCATTTGGGAGTTTCTGCCTGGGTGCAATTACATGTTCCAGATCCCTGAGGTTGCTATCATATCAGTGCCTCAACTTGAAGATATATTAAACATGTGAATATATGAATGAAATTATATTTTGATATGTATAAAAATCCAATTAAAATATTGATCCAATTTGCTTTTCCTCCTTTTTTTTTCCAAAGGAAAACAAAAAGAAAGAGGGATAGACCACTTGTTTTGCAAAATAATAATTGGCCTGATTGTGGTCCTCATGCATATAAGTCAATGTAATGTGGCTGTCTAAATTTTCCTAAAATGTTGAGAATTTAAAAAAATTATTTTTAACATTCTTTTCTTTGCAAATTTTGAGTCCTAACTTCTTTCCATTCCTCCTACCCCTACCCCACCCATTGAAAAGATAAGCAATATAATATCAATTAAACATATGAAATAATTAAAAACATATTTCCAAACTAGCTATATCACAAAAAAAATAATAAAGGAAATAAAGCAAGAAAGTTATGCTTCAATTTGTACTCAGAGTTCATCAGTTCTCTCTCTGGAAGTGGATAGTATTTTCTTTATCACGAGTCCTTTGGAATTGTCTTGCATCATTGTATTGATCAGAGTAGCCAAGTCTTTCACAGTTGATCATCATTACAATATTGCTATTACTATGTGCAATGATCTCCCAGTTTTTCTCATTTCACTTTACATAAATTTCATGGGAGTCTTCCCATTTGTTTTTGTCTTTTTTTTTTTTTTTAGAAAACCACCCCCTTGTCATTTTATATAGTACAACGGTAGTACATCACAAGCATATGCCATAACTTATTCACTTAGTCCTAAATTGATAAGTAACCCTTCAACTTCCAATTCTTTACCACCACAAAAAGAGCTGCTATAAATATTTCTGTACATATAGCTCCATTTTGGGGGCACAGACCTAGAAATGGTATTGCTGGGTCAAAGGGTATGCACATTTTTATTATCTTGGGCATAGTTCCAAATTGTTTTCCAGGGTGTTTGAACTAGTTCACAACTCCACCAACAGTTTATTAATATACCTATTTTTCCTCAACACTTCCAGCATTTGTTATTTCTGATAGGTACGAGCTAGTAACCTAGAGTTGTTTGTTGTCTCCGCCACTCCAAAATTTGATTTGAGCTGGCATTTTAAATTTGTTTGGGGGAGGGGAATGTAGGGAGAATTTAGCTAGATTGCTACCTATACTCTGCCATCTTGACTCTGTATTGTCTAATAGGTAGTATTGAGAAATTTAATTAGTAATTGTGTATTTTATCTATAGAAGACTTTTATTTTATAAACATTTCAAGTTAAAAAAAATAATATTACCTACTCTATGTAAGACACTGTGTTAGCTGTTAGGAATACAAAGAAAACAGGCACAACAGCAAAAAGGCCTTCCCTCAAGGATATTACAATTTTACTTGAGAAGGGAAATGAAACCTGTGTATAGATAAGTAAGTACAAAGGATATACAAATGAAAAATAATACAAAGCAATTTCAATAGGCAGATTGCATTAACACCTTATTGACAGCATTGCTATCCACATTTTACAAATGGAGAATCAACGACAAGCATATGAATAGATAGTGAGATGTTTCCTTCCTGCCATCCCTTTCTACCTTTTTTCCTATCTTAGCATCAAAGATTTAGAGGCAGAGGGGTCCTCAAAGATCATCTGTCCCAACCAATATCCTTATTTCTTACCTGTACGTGAGAAAAGTGAAGCCTAGAAAGGAAAAAAAAATACTTTGCTCATGATAATATGAGCAATTACTGGCAGAAACTTCATTTGAACCCAGGTCATCTGACTTCAAATTCAACATACTTTATTCTATGCCATGATGCCTCTCTCTTTTTTTTTGTTTGTTTGTTTGTTTTCAATTGCTGCTAAACATTTACTGTGTACTTGGAATTTTTCAGAGATACTGAAGCATGGATTTTTTTAAATATAGCACTAATAGTCCCTGACCTGAGGGAGTTTAAAACATGCTACAGGAGAGTAGATAAATGTGTATTTTAAGACACAAGTTAAAGACAGAAGAGTGAACATTACACACAAGTGCCTTTGAGCATAAAGGGAAAAAAAGGCCAAGGAGTGTGCTTAAGCAAAGAAGGCATCTTTGGAGGAGATAACTGCTAGTCTCAATACAAATCTCTATCAAATAATCATTTATTAGGTACATACTAAGTGCAAGACAAGAGGCAACTTGGCATAATGGATAAAGGGCCAGGTTTTGAGATAGTGTACTAGCTATTTGGGGAAGACCTGGACTAGCTGACTTGTAAGCATGCATCAGCTTTTAAGACCTATTTCTTCCTAGCTTGAGAAGTGAAGCTATTGCAGGATTGGTACTGGAGGATGGGGTTTTCTGCTACATAAAATTTCTCTGGAGAGATGCAAGGAGTTGGGGGAACCAAGATGGAAGGAGAAGAAGGCAGATGTAGGCATAACCCTAAAACCAGCACTCTCTTAGTTCAGATTCAACGTTGGAATAAAATGAGGCACCTGTGAGTCACTGAACATTTAAGAAAGGAGGAGGTTTTCTTTCTTACACATAACAAAGATATGCAACAAGAACATAAAATTAGCAACTCTTAGCTTCTCTAGATGCAGCTCTTCTCATCCGGAAACATATTTAGGCAGTCAGTCATCAAGATACAGTGACTTACATGATATTGGGCCCCCACCAAGTCTGAAAGACTCAGAGCCTTTGTTTTTTTTTTTCCTTTTCTTTTTTTATTGGCCATAGGCAAGGAAGCTAGATCTGACAAGTTGGGACCAATCAGGTTTTGTGAGGAGAGGAGAGATAATATGATTTCTTGTTTGGTGAAAGCAATTACATGTTCCTACGCCCAGCACAGCATGGTATCACTACTCAAATTTTCAAATTGATACTGGACCCACTTTCCAACCTCTGCTACTCTGTTTCAATCTTTTTTTGTTGTTGTTTTTAAGCATATGCCTCTGATGGATGCTCATATATCCCATAAACAACTGTATACAGTGGAAGGCATCAGCAAAATTCCTCCATTGGTCTTAACTCCAAAGATTTTTCAGTTCTGTGCTCTCCAGGCTCTTGACCACTTGGTCTGACCCATGGAACTAGTGTAGATGAAGATCCTCTTTCAACCATTCCTCAAAGGTCTTTCACATATCAGTTGTACAGCCTGGATCTCAGCCAACTAGATGAAATTGCCAGTATTCCTATTTCCAAAAGCATCTCCTGTTACCAGATTAGTGGCAACAGAAGTCCATTTTTGCATGCCTTCCAGTAGCAGATGGAACTATTGATAACCAGAAAGAATGACCTCCCTCATAAGCCAGGTCCTTATAAGCTGGAGCCCCTTAGGCCAGTGGAAGAGGTAGGAAGTCTGAACTGGAGGCCTCAGTCCCTGGCATAGTCACTACCTGTTTATGAAGCACTAATACCAGAGGGACCCTGGAAAGCATAGTTTCTAATGTCCAATTTCCATTTAGCAATCACAGCCTCCTTGCATTGTCTAGCCAATAATAAGGAACACTGAACAAAGGGTGATTATATGATTCAGTGTCATCTGTTCGGTAAGAGGTGAACAACTATAAAAGTATTATAATGAGTGGACGCTCTGGACAGCCTGGAGATCTAGATACCCAATAGTGGCTTATTCTTGGTGTCTGCCAAAGAATTCATCCAGC